AATCTTCTCTCTCTGGCTGTGGGACCTGGGCAGCTGCAGGCCCAGGGAAGCCTCCAGGACCCTCCACCCCTGATAATTTCCCATTTTCCCAGTGCCAGCTCACAGTTCCTACCCAGGTGATGGCAAACCAGGAAAGTTCTCAGCCAGTTGTTCCCAACAGCGACCATTTAACATCCTCAAATCTGGTTTCATGTTTTCCAAAGTATTTTTTAACACATCCATGTCTGCATCTGTGTTTGGTGGCAGTGCCAGCCCTGGGAGGGGACAGGGGGCTCCACGCAGGGAGCAGGCAGGACAAGGCTGAGGGTGAGTGGGGCAGCTGAGAGCAGAGCCAAGGAAATCCAGTAGGAAAAAAAATCTGAGTAGGAAATGTCCGAGAGGTTGGTTTGCTGTTGGCAGTGAGCACTTGGAGTGTAAGGATGTTAAACCCCCTGGTTAAAGCCCTTTCCAGGGCCTGGAGGGGCTCCAGGAGAGCTGCAGAGGGACTGGGGACAAGGCCTGGAGGGACAGGACCCAGGGAATGGCTCCCACTGCCAGAGGGCAGGGATGGATGGGACATTGGGAATTGGGAATTGTTCCCTGGCAGGGTGGGGAGGGGTTGGATGGAATTCCCAGAGCAGGTGTGGCTGCCCCTGGATCCCTGGCAGTGCCCAAGGCCAGGCTGGACACTGGGGCTGGGAGCACCTGGGACAGTGGGAGAGGTCCCTGCCATGGCAGGGGGGGCACTGGGTGGGCTCTGAGGTCCCTTCCCCCCCAGCCCATCCTGGGATGCTGGGCCCCCTTTGGGATGCTGGGCCCCCTTTGGGATGCTGGGCCCCTTTGGGATGCTGGGCCCCCCTTTGGGATGCTGGGCCCCCTTTGGGATGCTGGGCCCCCCTTGGGATGCTGGGCCCCCTTTGGGATGCTGGGCCCCCTTTGGGATGCTGGGCCCCCCTTTGGGATGCTGGGCCCCCTTTGGGATGCTGGGCCCTCTTTGGGATGCTGGGACCCCTTTGGGATGCTGGGCCCCCTTTGGGATGCTGGGCCCCCTGTCTGCTGGAGTTTAGCACTGGGTTCCCTGATGCAATCAGAGATGCCCCTGCACAGAGGTGTGCACAGAGCACTGGGGGGGAATGCAAGGACAGGGAATGCAAAACCAGGGAAATGAACCCCCCCAATGGGATCAGCTGAGGGCAGGGCCCAGGGGAGGCCCCAGTCCCAGGGGATCAGGTGTTTATTCCCAGGAGCTGCCCTGGATGAGCAACGTCCTGCTGGGACCCCCTGGCCAGGCAGAGCCTGTCCCACAGCAGCAGGGTTGGGGACAGGTCCCCAGATGGCCCAGGGGGTGACAGAGCTGCGGGGTCAGCACCCATCCCAGCAGGATTTGGACATAAACAAACACAGCAAGTCCCACCTCAGCTCGAGGAAGAATTTCTTTCCCTGGGGGTGGCAGGGCCCTGAGCAGCTGCCCAGAGCAGGTCTGGGGCCTCCCTCTCTGGGGACATCCCAACCCCACGTGCCCCGTGTCCCCTGCTCCGGGCTGGGCTGGATGGTGTCCAGAGGTCCCTCCTGTGATTCTGTGAACTGGTGGGATGTCACAGTTAGAACTCCCAAAGGAAACTGGGGATGCTGTGCCAGCTGGAGCTCCCTGCCCGTGCCCGTCCCCCGCCATCCCTCTGGAGGTCACAGCTCCAGGGCTGTCCCTGGCAGGCAGGGCAGGCCCCCCGTGCCCACACAGCTCTCTGGGCAGCAGTTTGGGCAGGACACGGATCCAGGGGTCCACGGGGAGCTGGCCTGGCCCTGGAGCCACGGGCGGGCACAGCTGTGGTGCCACTGGGGCCAGGCCCTGGCAGTTCCCCCACCCAACCCCAAATGGCACCATCTGTAAATCACGGAATTTCAAACCAAAAAAAGAAACGAAACCCCAAAAAAAAGCTTTTGCCAATCCTCTCCCTGGCTGATTCCAGCTGATTTAGTGGAAGTGACTGACTGGCACCAGTCTGGGCACTCCTGGCACTGCCCTGTGTCCCTTGGGTGGCGGTGGCTGTGTCCCCTCCCTCCTCCTCCTCCTCCTCCTCCTCCTCCTCCTCCTCCTCCTCCCCGGGCAGGGCACTCGCTCATCACTTCGGTTTTCTACCTGTGAGTACTGTATCCAGTTCAGAACCAACAGCTTCCTTTAGTAAAGATTTTACCATTTTATAAAAGACATGTTTAATTATGATGGAGATGGCTGTATTGTAATTAATATTTTGAGATAATTGTGATTTTGAGCTTAAATTATATACAGAAATGGTCATTTTTGTATGTGTTCAAAGATTGCTATATTCCAGATGACTGTACTTTTCAGTTGAATTCCAGTATCCATGTAAATAAAGCTGAATGAGGAAATATTTACTACTTTATTAACATAGATTGTGAATGTACTTCATGTTTTTTGCAGTATAAAGACTTACTGAACTTGAAAGCTGCTTCATTTTATGTGCAAAAAGGTACTTCAAAAATTCTATTTTAAATCTATTGATTGAGTGCAATCAGCTCCTGTCCCTTGGCACATGCAGGTTGTCCCCTCCCCGTGCCCTGGAGGGCCTGGCCCGTGCTGTGGGGCTGCTGCATTTGGCAGCTGCTCTGCAAAGAGGGAGCCCAGGGACTGAACCGATGCTGTGCAGTGCAGCAGAGCCATTTTCGGCTTTGCTGTACCCACCTTTTTCAGTATTTCCAAAAAAAAAAAGTGTTTTGAATAACATTAAAAAGTCTCTTTATTGTATAAATAATAAAAACGTCACCTTATTGTAAGGCTTTTGGGTGGTTTTTTTCTTTTCCCTGGCAGAAAGGAGGTTTCAGAGAGTGGGGAAGGGGGAATGAGCCTGGAAAATTGGGCAACTCCCAAGTGGGGCTCCCCTGGTCCAGCTGCAGCCAGGGGAGACAACAAATATGGAAAGGGAGTAATGGAAATGGGCAAGAAAACTCAGGTTTGGCAGCTTTGGGGGCAAATGTATGGAAGGATAAATGCATCGAAGAAATGGATGAAAGGACAAAATGTGTGGAAGGACAAATGCATGGAAGGATAAATGCATGGAGGAAGAATGCATGAAGAAATGGATGAAAGGACAAAATGCATGGAAGGATAAATGCATGGAGGAAGAATGCAGGAAGAAATGGATGAAAGGACAAATGCACGAAGGACAAAATGTATGGAAACAAAAGGGGGCAGGGGGTGAGGGCAGCAGCAGCTCCATCATCTGAGGAGCTGCAGAAGTGGCCCTGGAGCTCCAGGTGTCCCCTGCTGTCACTGCACACAGGCCCTGTCATCTGATCCTGCCCTTCCCATCCCCACTCCCCCAAACCCTTTCCCAGCCCATTCCCTTTCCCATTTCCCTGCAGCCAGGACCAGGTCCTGGTCCCCTCCTTGGGGAGACAGGGAGGTGCAGCTGGGCCTGAGCCCCCCGAGCCACCCTGCTCCAGCTGGAAGGCAATTCCCACCCCTGGGGAGCTGAGGGTGTTTTATGTTCATCTGGACATGTTCAAAACCTGGGAATTTTAGTGAGGAACTGTAAAAAATCCTGCTGTGCTACAGAACCTCCAGGGCTGTGTGCATGAGACCCTGAGGGGCTGGAGAGTGTCCAGGGCAGGGAACAGAGCTGGGCAGGGGCTGCAGAATCCCTGAGGGAGCTGGGCAGGGGCTGCAGAATCCCTGAGGGAGCTGGGCAGGGGCTGCAGAATCCCTGAGGGAGGCGGGCAGGGGCTGCAGAATCCCTGAGGGAGCTGGGCAGGGGCTGCAGAATCCCTGAGGGAGCTGGGCAGGGGCTGCAGAATCCCTGAGGGAGCTGGGCAGGGGCTGCAGAATCCCTGAGGGAGCTGGGCAGGGGCTGCAGAATCCCTGAGGGAGCTGGGCAGGGGCTGCAGAATCCCTGAGGGAGCCGGGCAGGGGCTGCAGAATCCCTGAGGGAGCTGGGCAGGGGCTGAGCCTGGAGCAAAGGAGGCTCAGGGGGCCCTTGTGGCTCTGCACAGCTCCTGCCAGGAGGGCACAGCCCCAGGGAACAGGGACAGGAGCAGAGGGAACGGCCCCAGGGTGGACATCAGCAGGAATTTCCCCATGGAAAGGGTGCTCAGGCCTTGGAGGGTGGTGGAGCCCACCCACAGCACTGCTACCTTTGAAGGTACCACCTGCAGGACCTTTGGAATTGTGTCTGAACAAGAGAAGTTCTCCATGTTCCCATCTAGAGAGCTCAGTTACAGCTTGAAGAACCCAAGGCAGACATCCAAGGGGAACATTTATTGTCCCAGCACAGCACCAGCCCCACCTTCATGCAGGTGAGCCCTGCACACACCTGGGCCACCTCTCACCCCCTCACAGCTCAAGCACTCGCCCCCACTCACACCAGGGAGCAGTTCTGGAGACACCAGTGAAACAAAACAGGAACACAAACCCCACAGTGCTCCCTTCTGCCTTTGGCCCCAGTGCTTGGGTGGTGACAACTCTCTGCAGAGCCCAGCTCAGCTGCAGGAAGCACTGTGGCTGTGCTGAAGGCAGCTTTCCTTGCTGTCCTTTATTACAAACAGTGTAAACAGAGTGGTGTGGGATCCTGAAATCCCTGCTGGAACATGCAGAGGGCAGGGAATGTTTCACAGCTGGGTCCTTAACACTGAGCAGACTCCCAGCCAGGAGCAGAAGGATGGAAGCAGTGGAGCCCAGGGGTGCTGGTGGAACAGGGGGTACCTGGCTGCTCCTGTTCTGCTGGAATGTGGCTCTGCAGGTATTGCAGCAGTGCAGCTGTGCCCTGGGCCAGGCCAGGCTCAGGAGGGAATGCCCAGGGCTCAGGATAAGCACCCAAGGCTCAGGTGGCAGTGCCCAGGGCTCAGGAGGAATGCCCAAGGGCTCAGGAGGAATGCCCAGGGCTCAGGAGGGAATACCCAAGGCTCAGGAGGGAATACCCAAGGGCTCAGGAGGAATGCCCAGGGCTCAGGAGGAATACCCAAGGGCTCAGGAGGAATACCCAGAGCTCAGGAGCAGTGCCCAGGGCTCAGGAGGAATGCCCAGGGCTCAGGAGGGGATGCGGCTGCTCAGGTACTCCAGCACAGCAGCCGTGCCCTTGGCCAGGCCAGGCTCAGGGCTCAGGTGGCAGTGCCCAGGCTCAGGAGCAGTGCCCAGGGCTCAGGTGGCAGTGCCCAGGGCTCAGGGCTGAGCTGGGAATGCCCAGGCTCAGGAGGGGATGCGGCTCCTCAGGTACTCCAGCACCGCAGCCGTGCCCTTGGCCAGCACGGCGGCGCGAGGCGTGCGGAACGGGTTCCCTTCCAGCAGCAGGCTCCTGCAAACAGGGATGAGTTACTGGGGTAAATCCCCTTGTACCCACACACTCAGCCACTGCATGCACAGTTCTGAGGCCTGTGGAATTCCTGGGGAGATCCCTTTCTGTGCTGCTGAAGGAGTTTGGGTTTCTGCTTCCCTCGCTCTCAAAACAGCTGAGTTTTAATTTATGCTGATAAATCAGTGGGGGTGTAGCACACACCCCACTCCTTCAGCCTCTGCCAGGAGGAGCGAGAAGAAAACTTCTGGAATATAGAAAGAGAATTCCAGAGTGGCTCAGGCTGGAAGGGAGCAGTGGGGTCAGCTGGTACAACCTCCCTGCTCAAGGGTGCTGCACCAGCAGTGTGACTGGGAGCACAGGAAATGTCACCCCCACAAGGCTCCACCACGAGCTTCACACAACCCCCAGACCCCCAACATCAGTTCTAAATGATGAAACAACTCCCACAATTCTCTGCAATGCTGAGAAATTAGGGGAAGACGTTATTGAAGAAATTGCCCTGCTCTACAGATGGCCAGAGAGACCCTTTCTGGACAAACCCAACACCCCACCCTGCCAATGGGTGCTTTTTGCTCTGGCAAACACTCCCTGAAGAGCTCAGACAGCAGATGTGTTTGTAAGCAGGCTCCCTGACCCCACACACCTGAGGTTCTCACAGTTGCCCAGCTCTGGGGGCACCTGCAGGAGGTCATTGTTCTGCAGGTCCAGCGTTCCCAGCTTCTCCAGCCCCTTCAGCTGCACGGGGTCTATGGATCCCACCTGGTTGTTGCTGAGCAAGATGTTCTCCAGGGCTGGGAGGTGATACAGGACACTGGGAAACACCTTAAATCTTCAGGAAGAGAAAGGAGGGACAGTCAGAAACAGGGCATTTGGAAGAGGAGCACTTCATAGGAGCTCCCAGCTCACTGAAGTGGCTCCTTGCTCTCACATCACAGGAAAATTGTGTCAAACTCAGCCCAGCTCTTTTTGTTATTGTATTAAAAAAAAATCTGAAGAGTTGCTCACCTATTAAAAGCAAGATTTATTGTGTGCAGTCTTTTCAGTGCCTCCATTTCCTCAGGCAAGGCTGTCAGAAAATTGTTTCTGTTATCAAAGAAAGACAAACAACAAGGACTAAACTTAGTCAGGCGCTTGGCTGAGAATTCCCAGATCAGCTCCACAGTCTGGGGCCAGTTCACTGCCTCACAGCAGGGGCAAGAGCCTGCCAGGGATTCCCACTCCTGCCAGGAGGACACTCAAAGCCAGTCCTCAAAGGATTCCCATGTATTCCCAGGCAGCCACCAACTGCACAAACCTGCCTGGAAATCCAGCTCCTTGTTTCCAGAGGAAAGCTTATCAAAGGGCCCAGACCCTGGAGCCAAAGTGAATCACTCAGGTCACTCCAAAGTTCCCCAAAATCAATGGACTGAGCTAATCCTGATCTAAAGGAGGCCAGGAGCATTTCTCAGGAATCAGAGGAGGACAGGTGACAACGAGGAGCCATCTCTTGCCTCTCTTTCTGGCCGTGCAACAAAATCTGCACCTTCCCTGTCCTAATTCCCAGGATTTTTTGGTGTGGTTTTCTTCTGGGGAGTTGTGGGAGTGTTTTGAAATAGCAACACCTCAGAACCCTTCTCTGAGTGAGGCAGGATCTCTCCTCCAGCATGTCTCAGAACTGGTCCATTTCTTTTTGTGTCTTCTTTAAAAGCAAGGCCCAAATTTAGGCCACCTCCTATTCTGGCTCTGGCAGGGAGAGATTTTGGGAGTGGGAGATGATTTCAGTGCTGCCATCCCACTGAACAGATGGCTGCTGTAGGGAGGCAGGCAAAGAAGCTCCCAGGCAAGGAGGTGCAACAACACACATCACCAACCTGAGATCCAAATGTGTCAACTTCTGGAGCAGGCACAGCTCCGAGGAAATGGAGGAGATTTTGTTGAAGCCCAGGCTGACATCACAAACTGAGTCTTTCAGCTCCACAAGCCTGAAGCACAAAAGAAGATGCTCTCACTGTGGAAGCTGGTGGTTGCTTTGTAAGTTATTAGAAAACCTGCTTTATTCTACAAATCAAGGACAAGTTATGGTATTTTCTGAAGGGATTTTGAGGAGATCATGCAATGTTACATGTGAGAGCTGCTGCTCCTCCGGCCTTACACGTGGGGTAAGGCAAAGCCCAAATAATTTATCTGCAGTTATCAGACTGTATTTTCTCTCACATATATTGCTACCAAAGCCTCCTCAGTAAATGCAGCCAGGAGCTGTTTCAGAGACCATGGCCCAGGTGACATCACTGCCACCTCCTGCCCTGGAGATGTTTTAATATTTGGGACTTTACCCACCTTCTTCTGCAGACAAAAAAACTAACCAAAAATTCCAATTTTTTCCCATCTTTTGCTTCTGCTCCCCTGTTGTGCTGTTACAAACTCTGGGAGCATCTGCTGCTGCTTGCAGATTATCTATTGTACTAACATATTTTGGTGTAAAGGTTTTCACAGCTCAAAAAGTTCCCTGTTAAACCCCTAAAACAGAATCTCTGGCTTAGCCCTAAAACAAAAGGCAATTAAATGAGAAAACTCTCCTGTCTCCTGTCTGGATTTGCATGGAATGCTGGGGCAGCTGCACACTCCCCCACAACCCATCCCAGGGAATTCAGCAGCCTCTCACACAGTGACACAGCATGGGATGCACAAGCAGCAGCTCCCAAAACTGAGTCTCTGGAAGCCTTTTTGTCCCTCTGGGATTGCACCTGCCCAAGCTGCCTGTGCCAGAGGTTGTGTTCAGCACACCTGGGAATAAACTGCCCTCAAAAACCAGTGTGGATGATTTTGGGGGGCTCCCAGAGACACAGCAGCCTTCCTCCTGACACAGAGGGATTACTGGTTCCCAGCAGTGCCAGGAAAGCCCTTCCTTGGCTGTGGCTGCCCCCAGTGACTGCACGGCCCACCTGCACACGAGTGCCTCCCCACCCTGGGCTCTGTGTGTGCACAAACAGCTCAGGGGGAGAAGAGCACGCTGCAAACGAAGGCAGCAGAGCAAACCCTCCCAGCAGTACCTGGGGGGGATCTCCCTGAGCTGGTTCTTGCTGAAGTTGACGGCGGTGACGGGATTGGCGCCCACGGCATCGAACACGGCCTCGGGGATTGCGGCAGCCTGCTTGTCACTGGGACAGGAGTGACACCAATTAACACTGCCTGCTAATTAACACAGCACTTCCCCCTTCCTCCAGAGCAGAACACAGGGAGCAGCTGCAGAAAGCTCCCAGCACTGCCCCATGCCCACCATGTCACCAAACAGGATTTTTTTCCGTTTCCCAACCCCTCCAGGTCCATTTAAGGAATAACTGAGCAGGAACTCCCCTGCCATAAGATGTTCTGGGACTTGATGAAAATCATAAAGAGCTTCAAAGGTACTAAAAGCACCTGCTGGGATTCAGCACTTCAACGAGTTACTGCAAAATATCTGGTGATACAAAAAAATAATTCAAACCCCACCATCTAAATCTGCCCATTCCCAAAGACAGGAATTGAAGGGGAAAATGCCCACATGCAGCAGGGTTTGTGGACAGCTTGGTGAGTCATGAAGGTGGGGAAAAACCCACAAGCATAAAATAGGCCAGTTTTCTTACAGCTTCAGGAATGGGCAATATTCCCAAATACCTGTATTCCAACAATTTCAGTGTGGTGATGGCGTGGATGTTGACCTTGGACTGGCTGGGAAGAGTCATGGCTGTCACAGGAGGCTCTTCATTGGGGCCAGGTCCATCATCTGGGGACACCAGAGGGGTGCAGGGACACAGCTGAGCTGCTCTGAGTGGCCCCAGGCAGCTGCCACCACCTCCCTCTAATCCTGCTCTACTCTGGCTCAACTCAAGATCATCAGATTCAGATAATTTCACTCATTGCCTAGTAAAGGTTTTTTACCATCTTGGATTTGGGGGTTCTTTTAGGGTGAAGGAGGGAGCAGGGCTGACCTGGGCTTTGCCAAGCAGGGGAGGGAGCACTGGAGATGTGATTCTGTGAGGCTCTGCTCCATGGGGTAGAGAAACTACAAAAAGCAGGGAATTCCAACTGGAAATGATGGCCTAGAGCAGCTTTATCCACACTGACACATCTGACTGCAATTTCAGTTACAGCATTACTGTTTACAAACCCTCCTCTGTGGATTCCCTTCTGGTCACTCCCCACAATCCACATGAAGAAGCTCCTGCAAGCCTGGAATGGGAATTCCCATCCAGCTGAGCAGGGTGAGTCTGGGTTTGTAAAGGATAATGCTCAATTCAGAATGTTTATTATTCAGTAATAGGATAAGAAACTGAAATATCACAGCAACCTGTTGAGTAAAGGAAATTACTACTGCAGGATAACTGGGGGGACCTGGATTTAAACAACCATCTTCCCTAAACTCTAATTTACTTTTATTTCTTAGAATATTCTCTTTAAAATGAAGGGGGAAAAGCAACATACCTTGGATTTTGCTTCTCAGGTATTTCAGCAGTTCCTGGGTGCCCTTCTTTAAAAAAGAAACAAACCCCAAGTCACTCAGCAGTATTTGTGCAGCTGGGGGGACAATGCAGAGGGACAATGCCAGCACACAGGTGGAGCCCACAGCACTCCTGACTGAAAATCCCACTGAAAATCCCACAGCAGCTTGGGAACTTGCTTAGTTATTATTTTATTTATTCCAGCTGAAAATTTCTGATCCTGAATCACAGCCTCAGGCTGCGCTTCTGTAGCTCCTCATGTGAAGATTTTTGCCACTTCCAAGAGCAAGTAAAAAAGTTCCAACAAGCTTAATTTTCCCTTTAAAAAGCTCCAGCACAATTTGCTGTGGAGAGCACATTTACAGTGTCAGTGAAGCTGACTGCTCACTGTTCTGCTACCTTTTTACAGCCCAAATCATAAACTCTGGGAAAACCGTGGCAGTTTGCATCATTTGCTGTTAAAAATCAGCTCCAAAGATTTCCCTCAGCCCTCTCACAGCAACTCCCAGCAGTCAGACACAGTTGCCACCTGCACAAACCTGAGGGTAGTGAAGCCCAATCTCCTCTGCACTGTTTGTTTTAGGGGAAAGGCAGGCTTGGGGTGTGATTTTACAGGTTTCAGAACCAGGGACTGACCTAAAGTGCTGGATGTGAATGAACATTTCTCGTTCCAGCTGACACAGCCTAGGAGACTGGATGAACAGAGAGGGATAAAGGGAATGTTGGAAAGCAGGGAACTGTCACAAGGAGACAGGCAGGGAGAGTGGGGCTGTGCTAAGCATGGCAAGGGAAGCAAACAGGGAAAGGTGAAGGTCAAACTGAAATCTCAGTAACAGATGTGTGGGAAGGAAAGCAGAGAGCAGGGTAAAGCTCCAGAGCCAAGTAATGGCAGGGGAGTTAGCAAAAATAGACCAGGATTTACCAGAAATCAACTGGAAATTCATCAAGAACCAGGAATGGGGTTGGGACTGGAATGAGAGACCTGAGGGAAGAGAAGGTGAGCTGGGCAGGGCTGGAGAAGGGAAAAGAAGGATCTGCTGCTCTGCTCCTCTACACTCACCCCAGTCCTTCATCTCAGCATCCACCTGCTCCAAGCAGTGCCTGGGGAGCCCTAGAGCTCCTCCACCAATTGCTCCTCTAAACCAAGTGGAAAAAAATCCAGCCAGGCAGAGAAAATTGCAGCCACATGAACTGACAGGGTTGGTGATGGATCCAGGAAGCACAAACAGAGCAGGCCTGACGGGCTCCTCGTGCCTGGCCTTTGCCCCAGGTGGGAAACACAGCCCAGCAGTGACAATGGCAGCTGAAGCAGCAAACCCTCAGTAATCCAGGAACAGCAGAACCCCAGCATTCCTGACTCACACTCCTTTCCAGGAGCACTTTGGACAAGTGCTCATTAACTCAGGGCACACTCTGCTCCCTCAGCCAGGCACACCAGGGCTTCCCTCTCCTGACAGATGTTACAGATTTCATTGCAACACAGACTTGTCAGCTCTGCTTATTTTGGGAGCATCCCAGTGCTTCGGGAACATTGATTTTACAACCCTGGCAAAGACACAGAAGTAGGAATGTACAGCACCACTGAGGAGAGGGGCCTGCCAGGGAAAACATCACAGGGAATTGTGCAGCAGGAGTGGTGGCCAGGCTCCAGCCTCCTGCTGCCCTAAGGACTCCTTTTCCTGGGAACAACTCACCCTCCCCCTGCTGCCTCCCTACCAGAGAACAGAGCCCTCAATCCTAGAACCTCCATTCAGTCACAACCTTAAAGCCCATCCCACTCCAGCCCTGCCATGGCAGGGACACCTCCCATGACTCCAGGCTGCTCCCAGCCCCAGTGTCCAGCCTGGCCTTGGGCACTGCCAGGGATCCAGGGGCAGCCCCAGCTGCTCTGGGCACCTGTGCCAGGGCCTGCCCACCCTGCCAGGGAACAATTCCCAATTCCCAATATCCCATCCATCCCTGCCCCTTGTCCTGTCCCTCCACCCCTCTCCACCTCTCCTGCAGCCCCTTCAAGGCCACACTGAGGTCACCCCCAAGCCTCTCCTCTCCAGGTGAACATTCCCAGCTCTCTCAGCCTTTCCTCCCGGCAGAGCTGCTCCATCCCTGGGACCATCCTGGTGCCTCCTCTGGATTCCCTCCCACAGCTCCAGGTCCCTCCTGTGCAGGTGCCCACACACACAACCAAACCCCAGTGCTCACTTGCAGCAGGTCTCTCCGAATGGTTCTCAAAGGATTTCCCTCCAGGGCCAGGAATTTCAGCTGAGGGAGGTTCCCCAGGGTGTAAGGCAACCTGCAGAGGGAAACAACTGATTGATTCCAAAGCAGCCCTAAAACCACAGCTAAAGAATGTGCAGTGGCTGCTCAGAGGGGATCCTGAAGCCCAAGTTCAAAGGAAAAGATGCAGAATCCCAGATTAATTTAAGTTGGAAAAGTTCTCCCAGGCCATGAAGTCCAAGCTCTGCCCAATCCCCACCTTGTCACTGAGTGCCACCTCCAGGAATTCCTTGGGCAGCTCCAGGGATGGGCACTCCAACCCTCCCTGGGCAATTCCAGTGCCTGAGCCCCCTTTCCATGGGGGAATTCCTGCTGTGCCCACCCTGAGCCTGCCCTGGCCCAGCCTGGGGCCGTTCCCTCTGCTCCTGTCCCTGTGCCCTGGAGCAGAGCCCGACCCCCCCGGCTGTGCCCTCCTGGCAGGAGCTGTGCAGAGCCACAAGGGCCCCCTGAGCCTCCTCTGCTCCAGGCTGAGCCCCTGCCCAGCTCCCTCAGGGATTCTGCAGCCCCTGCCCAGCTCCCTCAGGGATTCTGCAGCCCCTGCCCGGCTCCCTCAGGGATTCTGCAGCCCCTGCCCAGCTCCCTCAGGGATTCTGCAGCCCCTGCCCAGCTCCCTCAGGGATTCTGCAGCCCCTGCCCAGCTCCCTCAGGGATTCTGCAGCCCCTGCCCGGCTCCCTCAGGGATTCTGCAGCCCCTGCCCGGCTCCTCAGGGATTCTGCAGCCCCTGCCCAGCTCCCTCAGCCTCTCCTGGGGCTCCAGCCCCTGCCCAGCTCCCTCAGCTGCTCCTCACAGCACTCCCAAGTCACAGCTAAGTCACAGGGAGAACACAGAACATTTCAGAAGTCCCAGTCTGACCTCAGCATATCTATCCCACAACACCCAGAGGGCTCCTTCATTTCCTGAGTCATCCCTTAAGGCCCTTCCCACGGAAGGAAGGAGCTGCCAGCACCCAGCCCAAGTGCCACTATTACCTACTGATGTCATTGTTGGCCAGGTCGAGCCTCTCCAGCTTCTGCAGCACCGTGATCTCCTCAGGCACTGCCTTGATCTTGTTGTCCCTGAGCTCCAGCACACACAGGGAGCTCAGCTGCTTCAGATTCTCTGCATTCAGGATTTCAATCTGATTCTCCCCAGCGTGCAATTCCTACAGGAACAAAGCACCACAACTGTGGTATAACTACTTTATAATTTATCTCCTAAATCATGACATCAGCAGAATGATGATGTGGAGAATACAGACATCTTAATTCCCTTTCATCTGCCTACAAAATACCTGATTATGTTAAAAGGAAAAACAGTGTATTTACTCCATAGTTACAAAGAAAAAAATGATAATGAACAAAGTGAATTTATCCAGAAAAAGTTCCCAGAGATAAAAATAACTGTTGCAGGCAATATTAGATCATCTTTCACTCATTCCTCTCCTGAACACTTTTTATTTTCCAAATCTGGAAAGTCCTGCAAACTCAAAAGGTTGAACAATGAGGGCAGGAAGAGAAGTTGCACATTAAACAAGAGTTCTAAACACAGAGCTGCCATCTGGTTTTGATCACAGCACCTCACAAAAGCTGGTGTTTAAAGTAACTGTCATTATTTCAAAGCTTACAGCACAGGCATTTCCAGCAGAGCAGCCATTCCAAGCTCACCTTCAGTAACTTGCAGGAGGGAAGCTCTGGCAAGGAACGCAGTTTGTTTTTCCTCAGGTAAAGCTGCTCCAGGGATGCCATGGTTGCTAATTTAGGGGGTACCGTTTCCAGGTAATTTTTGGTGCAATCCAGTTGCCTCAAGCCTGTGGAAGTCAATGTCCAGTGAGAAACAGAGAAGATAAAAATACCTTTCTACAGCAGCATAATTGTCCTGGGATTTAATTTAAAATATACACAATGACATTTTGCCAAACAGATTCTGGAAGTAGTAACTCTGATTTTCTTGAGGAAACAGTAACTATTTAAGGATCTATTTTAAAACCCTGCACTGTATTGCTGAACATAAGCATAGCACTGGCTGTTTGGCACTTAATAACCCGAGGAAAGTGATTTACTTTTCATGGCACTGAGATCTGCAGGCAGCTCCTTGAGCTGGTTACAGGCCAGGTTGAGCCGCACCAAGTTCACCAGCAGAGCAAAACTGGTGGGGATGGCTGTGAGCTGGTTGTTGGACACATCCTGCACATGGAAACAGAGAGAGAGCGATGAGAGGTGTCTGAAACATCCCAGCAGTGCTGCTACTGCAAAGTTAATTAGTGGCAGAACAGTAAAATTAGATTGCTGACAACTGGCACGAGTGTGAGAGAAGAGACAACTCCCCCAGGACTGACACAGATCGCTGGGGATTTCAGCTTTCCCAAAATATGTCAAACCAAGAACACACTAAAAACAAACCCCACCATGCAGTAACTGGCATGAGAACAGCCACTGGAATATTTGCCAAGGGCTGCTGCTGAATGCCAGGGACTTTAGCTAGCAGATAAACCCTTCCCAAACACAGGAACAGGTCTGAAGCCGTGCTTTACCAGCTCCTCCAAGCTGAGGAGCTGCCCCAGCCCCTCGGGCAGCTGGCTCAGCTCGTTGTGCTGCACCAGGAGGCTCCTCAGATGGGGCAGCTGCAGCAGCTCCTCGGGAAGGCTCCTCAGTTTGTTGTGGCTGGGGTGGAAACATGGAACACAAAGGGAAAGGAAAAACACTCAGGAGATTTCAGGAATGTAACCGCACACAGAACATTTGTGTGCCATGGCCTGCTGGTCAGGACACTGCCACCCCTAAAGAACAACTGACTATCTTTATTTATTTCTTAAAGAAGACTTTTAATCCTACCCTGAATTTAGAACATTCCAGTTTTTTTGTTTATGTACTTCACACACACAGTGGTAGCATGACCTCTCCTTGTACACAAATTTACAAAATTACCCCAGTAAACAGAAGATTCGGAACCTTCCAGCACAAACAAGATCTACACAGTTATTTACAATGTGCATTATTCATGACTGGAAATGTTCTATCCTCAGAACTGCCAGACTGAAGCAAATAAATGCAAATAAATATTTCGTGTGTCATTATTCAGAATATCACTGTTTGCACCTTCCAAGCAATTGTGACTTTGAATATCAGTGAAAACAATTTCTAGAAACCCAAGGCCACCAGTTTTGATCCAAAATGGATAATATAACAAATATAATATATAATAATACCCTAGAGTGAATAATCTGGAATTAATTTTTTGAAGGAAAGGTTGCTATCCTGCAATCTCACACTCACACCCGTAAGTTATCGCAGCATTTTTCGTGTTTGATCTGTAACACGGCCTTACCTGACATCGAGTTTCTGGAGATTTTCAAGTTGCCCTAAAGCAGAAGGAAGTGATGTCAGTTGATTGTCATGCACCTGGAAACAGAGGTTTTAGGACACAGTTACTAATTTGTACCTCAGAGGGGTTTTTTTTCGGGAAGAATTTCTCCCCAAAATCCCATCAGTCCCAGCCCTCTGGCAGTTGGAAGCCGTTCCCCCTTGTCCTGCCACTCCAGGCCCCTGTGAAATGGATACAGCAGGGAAATGGAAAACAAAGATCCAGGACAACGTTTCCCCGTGTCCTGCAGGGAAGCACCGTCAGAGCACCAAGGGATCCCTGTACTCACGTCCAGCATGGTGAGGGCAGGCAGCAGCTGCACATCCTCCGAGAGGCTCTGCAGCTTGTTGGAGGCCAGGATCAGCTTGGTCAGGTCTGTCTGCTCCCACCAGCGATCCGCAGCTCCGAAGGACAGGTTCTGCTGGGCTTCCTCCGGCGTGTCCAGGTTGATCCTCCACACGTGCTCGGGCACTGCAGCACAAACACAGCCGTCAGCTGAAGCCCGCAGGTGTCTGCTCCAAGATTTCACAGCCAGAGTGCTTTTTGGGAGTAAAATTATTGGGTAGGTTAGGCTGGAAGGGACCCTAATGATCCAACCCTTCTGCCTTGGGGGGTGACATATATAGAGACAGATAAATATATATGGACGCATATGGGCATATACATATGTAAGTACATATATACAAACATACATCTATCCACAGCTACATATATATATACGTGTACACGTATCTATAATACACACATCCCAACAGTCACTCTCCAGTCCATTGTGTTCTAGAGATATTTTTGCAGAGATATCAAGAAAAGCCGATGGACACATGCCAGAAACAGACAACAGCGAGCAGATGGTGCTCCCCGGGAGCAGCCCCGGCGAGGCCGGCTGGGCTCACGCACCGTGGGTGAGGCCGCGTCCCGCCAGGTTGAGCTGCCCGCTGCGCCGCGCCAGCCGCAGCAGCCCCTGCGGCACCGCCGGCGGCTCGGCCGCCCGCCCGAACCCCGGCCCCGCGCCGCCGCCGCCGCCCGCCCGCGCCCGCCGAGCCGCCGCCATCGCCGCCACAGCCCGAGCGGGGCCGGGGCCGGGCTGGAGCCGCGCTGCAGCCGCTCGCTCGCTGCCGGAGCCGGGGCTGGTGCCGCCCGCAGCCGGAGCCGCCCGCCCGCTGCAAGGCGTGGCCCCGCGGGCGGACCCGGCCCAGCCCCGGCGCCGCCATTTCCCGCCCCGCCGTGCCGAAATGGAGCCCCGGGACGCGCCGGGGCCGCGCTGCTCGGGGTGTTGTACACGGACACACGAGGAACAGCACACGGAACGGCGCTTTCGCATCCGTTTGTTGGTTTTGCTTTCCGCCTAAGCCCTGTGCGCAGCTACACTGCGGACTCCTGGGGGCCTGTGCGTGGCTGGGCTCCGTGATCTCCAGGGTCTGTTCCATCCTCAGCAGAATCTCAGGATGGTTTGGGTTGGGAGGGATTCCATGGCCGGGGTGGAATGAGATGATATTCAAATTGTTTGGAAGGTGCAAACAGTGATGTGCTGAATAATCATACACAAAATATTCCACGCCTTCCACTGTCCCAGGCTGCTCCCAGCCCCAGTGTCCAGCCTGGTGTTGGACACTCCCAGGGATCAGGGGCAGCCACAGCTGCTCTGTGCCAGGACTTCCCCACCTTCCCAGGGAAGGATTTCTCCCCAATATCCCATCCAGACCAGCCCATGGAACGAGCCCCGTGCCTGCAGGTCCCACCAGCAGCTCCCAGTGAGAGGAAAATGCTGAAAAAGGAATGTGGCCCCATGTTGGAGTGTAGTTCTCTTTGCTCTGTAACAGCACATCTGTGTTTCAAACACTCCCCTCGTTGAAAAATGCTTCTACGAATGAATGAAAAGTAATTAGTGAAGGTTTAAGTACATTAGTCAAGTTTGTAATTCGGGAAACTCACTTCAGGCACTTTCTCTTGAAAAAAGATATTGGCCTCATTCGTTTTTTTACCAGTGTTCTCTAATCCCCCCACTTGTTTTTTCTCCTCTCTCAGTGGAGGCAGAAACACACAGAAAATACTGGGTATTTCAACTGATTATTTAAAAAAAACAGTGGTGCTTAAAAATGGGTTTTAAGGACTGCAGAGGGTGAGTGCTCTGTGCCTCAGGGCCCCTGGTAAAAACACTGTATCACTTTCATCTCATTCAGTTTCAATGCTGTTGGACAGCAAAGCTCCACGTGGAACATTGCTGACAAATTCAAATCTGGAATTTAAATAAGCTTTGGCAATTCAGTAATAGATACAGCATCTGTAATATTTCATAAGTGGAAATGTGATATCTGCTAAGGGAGGACAGTGAGCATCTCCTACTTTTTGAATCAGATGAGGTTTTATTTCAGCAGGATTAATAAATAAGGCTGGTTTTATTTACATTCAGAAACATTTATGGGAAACACATTAATATAAAGAAACAAACTCATCAGGAAATAGCATGATTTGTACTATGTAAACTGCAAATATATATTTTCCCCTCTCTCATAAAAATTCCCACCCCAACGTTGTACTGCTTGTGATGCCTTTTCCAAGGCTACCTGAAAACAGAGGCCAGACAGAGTTAAGGGAGTAAAAAGCAGGTATATTTCTTGAAGGGCCTTCATGTACATCTTGGGCAGATGAAGCCTGCCAGGTATTACACCCAAAAATACATGATGGGTCACAAATTTTCACACTTTTATAAGTTTGGTTCATTAGCATTTTGGGGATTAATCCTCTAATTACATCTTCGGGTAATGAAGTCATTCACCCCAAGTTTGCTTTCCCCAAAACTCACTTTTGTTTACATTTACTGGACCCTGAGACAGTGAGGAGTCCTTGATTGCCAGGCCTGGAGAGGAATTGTTGTGTCTGCTCAAAATGGGACAGCAGCAGCTCACACTGTACGTGGAGTTTAGAGCTCTACACTAAAGAACTGCAGGATCACAAATACAGAAAACCAGAAACGCCAGACTCCCAAGGCATCCCTGGGACAGTGTATTTTGTGAGACTTTGCTCTGTGAAATGCCGAGGGACGAGGCGGCATTAGCGCTACCTCAGAGCCCCCTCAGCTTTCCCGCGCGCGGGGCTCTGAGGGGGTGGGGGGGCCTGAGCGCGCCCCCTCCGCGCACGCGCCGCCCCCGCGCGCGGGCGTCCCTCTTCTCCGTGCGCGTCGGGCGGCGCGGCGCATGCGCGGGGCCGCGCGCGCAGGCGCGGCGCGGTGCACCGTGGGATACTGCGGCCCGGGCAGGCTGGTGAGGCGGCGCGCGCGGGGCCGGCGGGGGCGAGCGAACCGGGCCGGGGGCGGCGGGGCCGGGCCGAGCGAACCGGGCCGGGCAGGGGAGCGAACCGCAGCGCTCCGCCCGCGCCTCACCCGCTCCGCGCCCCCGCTGTGTGTCTGCTGCAGCACCGGCGGAGCGGGCGGCGGCGCGATGGCCTCCAGCAGCGGCACCGACGTGATCCAGGTCACCAACGTCTCGCCCAGCGCCAGCTCGGAGCAGATGCGGACCCTCTTCGGCTTCCTGGGCAAGATCGAGGAGCTGCGCCTCTTCCCCCCCGAGTGAGTGCGGGCCCGGCCCGGCCTCGCCGCCTCCCCCCCCTTCCCTCCCTCCCCCCCCGCGCCCTGCCCGCGGCCCGGCGCCGCCTCCCTCGCTCCCGCCCGCCCCCCCGGCGGCTCCCGGCCCGAGCCGCCCCCGCTCCCGGGGATCCCGCCCGGCCGCGGCGGGGGCGGCTCTCGCCGCGCACCCCCCGAGCCGGTGTGCACGGCTCGGCTCGGTCACGGGACTGCGGGGATCCGTGCGGGCGTGGAGCGACACGTGCGGCTCCGGTGAAATCCACGTTTGTCTCCAGGAGTTGTTTGTCCGGGGTTGTGGCCGCCGAGCCTCTGGTGTCTGCGTCACCTCCGCAGCACTAAAACTTCTAGATGTAGATAAATGCGTTTGTTGCAAAGAATTTTTTGCTAGAAGAGCAGCTTACCTCTACTGTACAAAAAATGCACTTCTAGTATTTCTGTTCCTTGCAAGCAAATCTATGCTGAGCAGAAGGGAAACCGGACAGACGAATACACGTTTGTCAGTTGCACATCCTGCAAGGAATTCTGTGCAAATTAAAACAAATAATGTACATTTCAAGTGCGTATATAACTGAAAAGAAAGTTTCAGATACCCTGGCAATTTACAAATAGCAACAAACAAAAAAAAAAGAACTAAGACAGTTTTTATGTCTTCACTTGCAGTTAAGTTCTAATGAACATAAATAGTGCTTTCAGAATCCTTTCTGATGCAATATAAAACCTGGGTGTTAGCAGGGATGATGGTTTCAGTGTGATTGATTTACAGAGCCTGGTGCCATTATATGGTGTTTTGGATATTCACTATGTAAATTAAAGATTTTCTTTCTGCCACGTTGAAGATCAATCAAACAATCAATTATTTGTAATACCCAAAATTACTTGGGTTTATTATTTTAGGGGAAAAAAATATAGCAGAACATTTCTTTTTCCACTGAGGCTTCCATCCCTGTTAACAGAAACCAAAGACAGTTCCAGAAGGAGTTTCCTTGTTCCCAGCTGGGACACCTGGCATGGCAGGAGCTCCCCTGTGGCAGGTGCAGTCCTTTCCTGGCCTGCTCTGTGTCTGAGCACTTGGTCTCGTTTTTCAGGGCAGATGTTGGAGGTGTTTGGTGTCCCTGAAACTTTGTAGCTTTAGATACACATTAACTAACCTGTTCAGGGATTGCTGCAGTGCCTTGGGGTCCTTTCCCTTGTGTGAGGAGCTCACCCCCAGGGGGCTTTCCCTGGGCTGATGGGAATCTGCTCTGGCTCCCTTCAGGACTCCCATCCACATCCCCCCAAAGAAAGGGACATTTTCTAATAGTGCCACGTTCTTTTTCTGCTCCTTCTCCCTCAGATTCCTGATCCTGACTTTCCCTTTCCCATGGTGCCCATTGATTTTTGGAGAGGTGTGGGATATAAATCATAATCAGTGAAGTCTCCCCATAATGGAGATTCCTTCCTGGATCCTGCTGGAATTCTCCCTTGCCTGTAGTATTTGAGGAACCAATCCCATTTCCTTTGCTCCACCTCCTTGTTTGATCTGTGGCACTCTGCTGTAGAACTTCCTTATTCTCCTGCTCTTCCAGATCATGTGTAACTTCCTGAGCTTCTCTCAATTCCTGTTTTTCCTCTTCTCCCCTCATCCACCCCTTTTCCCAGTTTATTTAATCCCCTGTTTCTCATTTCTTGTACACCTCAGCTGCATCTTTAATGCACAATCTGCTTTGGGACTCCTTCCAATTTTCCTCCCCCTCCTCCTCCTGCTTTTCCCTGACTCCATTGCCTGGTGTTCATCTTTATTATATTCCATAAAGCTCCATCCAGACTGGAAAGTGGAGGGAGTGGATTTCTGAGTTTCCTGTATTGCAGCCCCAGGAAATCCTTGTGTGTCCCAGCATTCCAATGGCTGAGAGACAATTCCTGAATGCTTCAGCCTTGGGTGAATTAGAATAATGATGGATGGTGGCTTTTTTTGGGAGCTGTTGAGAACATCCAGTTCTTGCTGAATTTCACCCAGCTTGGATTTGAGAGTGAGTGGAAATACCATTTTTAAAAGTGCAATACACAGATGTAAATTAAATGTCAGGCTGCAGAAGCGTTGCCTAACACATTTTCAGTTGATATTTTAGGTTCATTATTTTGGGAGAAAGCTCAGCTACCCCAAAGCATTCCCAGAGGCACTCCTGGCAGTAAACAGGATCTGCTCTGGTTCACATTCCTTTGTTATCTGGCATTTTAAAAATGCCTCAAAATACTGGGCTGCATCTCTATAATGAATTGTGTAATTTTTATACAGTTTAGATTAGGAACTCCTTCAGCTCTGCCATCAACCCTGGATTTACTTTCCTTTACAAATTTTCTGTGATTTTGTTTAACGCCTTCTACTAAGGCTTCTTTGGTTTTATGTAATTATTATTCTTTATTTCTTGTTATTTCTTATTAATTATTACTTATGGGCTAAGAAAGGCACCATTTTGGCAAGCTACTGTGGATTCCTGGGCACAAAAGAGCCAACAGATTCAATTTTTTTTTCTCATTTATCACTGCAGTTATTTCCCAATTTATTCAGTCTGCAAGCTGTGGGAGCAAGTGGCTGTTTCTAATTTTAATGTTTCAGAAGTTGCAATGTGCTGGCTCCAATTTAGTTTTCCACGCCAGGTGAAATGTCAGGTTACTGAAGTGTGGTCTGACGGACACTGGGGCAGTTGTGTGTGTTGGGCCCAGTGGGGCTGAAGGTGAGGGAGCTTTTGGCATTTGCAGTGCCCAAAATAGACCCTGGATCTGCCTGCTGGTGTCGGCGCTGTTCCCTGAGTTCTGACAACCCCCAGTGCTGAAAGGCTTGATCAGCCCCAGCAGCCCAGATCAAGCTGCTCTGGAGCTGGGGTGCCTTTGAAGTCTGATGTTTTGGAGTTGGGCTGGGAATCCAGGTAGGAAAAGCAGCTTTTTGTCAGGACCAGTGATGTTTTCAGAGCTCCCTAGGCTGATCTGGACCTCTGGCCTGGTGTAGGAACAAGGGGTTTAGGATTTGCTGCTGCTTCCACTCCCTGCCTGGGCCTTCTGGAGGCAGCTTTTAACTCCTCTGCCCCACAGTTCTGTCTGCAGAAGAATTTTCCTTCCTGTCTTTCACTTTGTACATCCAATTACAGCAAAATCTCAAAATCTGCCGCACTTTGAGGACAGGGGACCTCTTAAAACCCATGCCTGGGCTGACTGCACCTGGTGTTTCAGTTTGGTTTGGTTTAAAGGAAGTTGCAGCTGTAGTTCTACCATTCTTTCCTGTTATAGGAAGTAGATATTTCTGGGTTGGTTTTTCTTCGAAGTGGCTCAGAACTTCTCAGTTTTGGGTTTGTAGGTTGGCAGACACTTGTTGTGAGCTGGAAGAGGCACAGGCCTACCTTGGAGGGAGGTCTGTTTTAGTGTGCTCAGCTTTTCATTCCTGCCTCAGCTCCTTTCATTTCCTTGTGTTTGTTCTTCCCTGCTGAAGATAGGCAGGAGCTCAGCACTGGGCATTCCTCAGGGTGTGGGAGCATGGTGAAGTTTAGTCTAGAAGCTGGGATGGAGTTGGGTTGATGAATGAAACAGAATCCCAGGCCTGGGATGGGAGGGACCTCAAAGCCCATCCAGAGCCATGGGCAGGGACACCTCCCACTGTCCCAGGCTGCTCCAACCTGGCCTTGGGCACTGCAGGGATCCAGAGGCAGCCACAGCTGCTCTGGGAGCTCTATTCCAGGGCCTCAGCACCCTCCCAGGCAGGAATTCCTTCCCAACATCCCATCCCTCCCTGCCCTGTGTCAGATCAAATCCTTCACCCCTCACCCTGCCCCTACGCGCCCTTGTCCCGAGTCACAAGGATCCTTTAATCATCGCCCTCTTCGTTTCACAATTTACCTCACTCAGTCACCTGGGGCCTAAAGCAGCGAGTGTGAAACCTCAGGCTTTAACTGAGACAGAATTGTCACTTTTTCTCCTTTTTCAGCCAAGTTTTCCTGCCAGCCAGGGCGGAATTCGCATTTAGGTGGCCGCTCATGGATTTACTGTGCACAGCAGAGCTCGTGTGCAGCTCCAAGAGGGGGGGATGACAGCTGCTGTGGTTTTGGGGTTGGTTACCCTGTTGCTGCTGTGCAGCTCCAAGAGGGGGGGATGACGGCTGCTGTGGTTTTGGGGTTGGCTGGCCCTGTTGCTGCTGTGCAGCTCCAAGAGGGGGGGATGACAGCTGCTGTGGTTTGGGGTTGGTTACCCTGTTGCTGCTGTGCAGCTCCAAGAGGGGGGGATGACAGCTGCTGTGATTTGGGGTTGGTGGCCCTGTTGCTGTTGTCCCTGAGCGTGGCTCTGTCTCTTGCAGTGACTCCCCCTTGCCGGTGTCGTCGCGCGTGTGCTTTGTAAAGTTCCACGACCCCGACTCGGCCGTGGTGGCCCAGCACCTGACAAACACTGTGTTCGTTGACAGAGCCCTCATAGTCGTTCCCTATGCTGAAGGTTTGTAACTTGTTTGATGTTCTACGGGGCCACCCTTGGGTGGTGGTTGGTTCCTGTCTAGTGCTCAGAATTTTCCAGTAGTCCTATGTCAAACACGTCAGAGTTTGCCATTCTGAAACCCTTGGTATATTGCCTTTGGCCCCTGCATTTGGTCAGTCTGTTTCCATAGTGACACCAAATCTAAGTGGAAAGTTCTGTGTGTCTTGAAGTGTAGAATAAGAACGTTTTAGGCAGAATTCTGTGCCGATTTTGCTTCGTGTCAGTCTCAATGAGACGTTTTTCCCAAACAGTTTGTAATGCAAACAGGTCCATATTTTAAGGAAATTTTACCTTAATAATTGTTTGCCGCTTCTTTCACTCTCTTCATGAGAATGGTTTCTCCCTCCCTGAGAGTGCATGGGAGAGTAATTAACATTCCTTTGGGCTGTGCTGCCACTGCATTTATTTGGGAACATCCCCAAAAAAGGCCCTCACTCTCCTTGTGGAGGAGTCCAGTATACCAAGGGTTTGAATAATTATGGTTTAATTCAAAAGTGACAACTTCCAAGAGGTGCCACATGGGCACTGGTCCTAGTTTTTAATTCCAAGTTTTCTTGTTCATCCTTGATATATTTAATAGAATTTCACTAAATAATAAACTCTTCTCTCTGTTATTTGTGTGTGTGATTTTTGTAGTGGAGAAGGCAAATGCAAAGCCCTTCCAGATGACTGAAAAACAGTGGGTCCTCTGCAGCTACAGGGGATTCTAGCCATTAACTAAAGGCCAGCAAGCACTCAAGTCCCCAAGTGTTTTCCTGGTGTAACCACTTGTTAACTACATTTTCTCTTCTTCTTTTTATTTTTACATTTTAGGGTGTTACAGTAATTTGAAAGGCAATGAGCAGGGTTTTTGGAACTTACCTTAAAAGCAAAGTGCTGAGAAGACACCTCTTCTTACAGAAGTCTTATTAAACTCTTCTAGACTTGCTTTAGAAGTAACTGATTTCCATTGTACTTCTGCATTTCTTGATTTACTTCTGGGAAAGGTTGAATTGAATAAAATCTTGCAGATTAAGTCATACTACACTGCTAAGTTGGGTACATGGCCCGGGGTCACACCTGTAATCTTAATCTGTCATGCTGGAGCTGTCTCTTGAGGCCTGGGGAGCTGTCTTATCTTATCTTTGTATTCCTTAAGCTTTAAAGATACGAAACTTAAACTTAAAAGATGTCCAGCCTAATTCCTGGAGTGTAGGAATGTGCAGTGTGGCCTCTGAGTGAGCCCTGCTGCTTCCTGGGGGCACAGAACCCCTTCTGCAATGGAGTTACTGCTCCTGCTGCCACTGCTGCACAACAGCAGAGCTGAGAGGCTGCTTGTCCCTGTGTGGGTGTTAAACACAGCAGCAGTCCAGTGAGATGCTGCTGGAATATTCTCCAAGGCCCATGGCAATAATGCCAGTGTTTAACTCTTCCTACAAGGATAAACCCACTTTTCTCTTTGTCAGTCTCACTTTGTCCACTGTGGATAAACCTGGCACGCAGAGAAGCCTGCCCAGCAGCTGGGCTTCAGAAAATCCAATTCTTCAAGTGGAATATTTTCCTGGGCCTGTTAAGGAGTCACTCCTGGGCTGTACCTTGTGTTGCCTAACAGTTCAGAAATTAATGGCCTTGGCACATCACAAGAGAGATGTTCAGCCAATAAAGCATCACCCCTGGGTTAATAACCCCATACTTCTGTCCCTGTGCTGGAGTGCAGTTTTCCCCCAAAATTCAGCCTGCCAGGGTCCCAGTTGAAGCAGGAGCAGCCTTTCCCCAGCCCACAGTGCCACTGCTGATGTGCTTAAAGCCAGGCCTGTGCTGAGTGGGGCCCTCCTGTCTCTGATGTCTGCTGTGCTAATGAACCTGTGTGATTATTGCCTGTCACTAAAGCAAATGTTTATTATCTGTTTAGTGCAATAATTCCCCCCCTGTCCCAAGTTTTAGCTCACACAGACACTTTGGTGTTGGCTGTTGCTTTGTGTTATAGAACTATACACAAAGGCTACGGTAAGGTTTAGTATTTGTCATTTTCTCTGGGCTAATTCCTGGATTTGGAAGGAACTCTTAAGGTTAAAGATGGCTGGGAGGGGTGTTTAGGTTCTTTGGTTAATGTTTGTTTCTTTTGTCTGTTTCTTTTTCTTTCATTTCTACACATTCATGCAGTATTTCATGGTTCTAACAAAGCAGCAGTAAAAAAAGCTCTTGAAGCATGAAAATTAACTGGTGAGGGGCCTCATTGCTTTTTTTAAAATTGTAGTTTATTTAAATACTTTTTAAAGAAACAATTAGAGGATCAGATGCATGAATTTTTTTAATGGATGCAGATCTTCTTTGAGGCGTCTCGAGCTAAGTCTGAGGATTTGTATTTAGATGCCAGAAATGTTGTAGTTGCACTAATTTGAAATGTTTAGCTGTAATTGATAAATATCCTCTTGAGACATAATTTTGCATGCCAAATGACCCCATAATCTCTCTGTAGGTATGTTGATATATTTATGCATTCCTGCCCTTTGCCTCCATGACCTTTTTCCCTGTCCCTCCATAACTTTGGGTATCTAAAGTGCTGCCAGCTCAGTGCCACGAGCCAGATATCAGTGCTGTGTATTGTACATTTGTGTAGATTATCGGCACTTCTCAGTATAGGTGGGAGGAACCATTACCTTTATTTAACAGTGGTTTTTCTTTTTTGTTGTTGTGTTTTACAGTTCTTTTCCCTGGTTCAGCCTGAACTATATACCAGGCCCTGCTGAAAATACCACCCAACAGTTTTCTTCTGCAGCTTATCCAGTTTCTCTTAAGTGCCCTGTACATATTGTATGTTTTATGATGAGATGCAGTTTCTTAATATGTATTACAGAAACACTACTGGTATTTGCAACTATATAGTAAAATTGTTTTATTGAACTCTCATTTTGGGGGCTTGGGCACATTAACAAATTAATCCATCTGTATAGGGCTTTTGCTGTTGGATAGAGTAAAACTCCCTCCACAACTGTTTGCTAGTAGGGCCCTGAGCACTGTGTGTGCAGAGCAGGCAGTGCAGTAACCCCTGGGCTTGGCTGGCTGCAAGACTTTGGGCCACGAGTCCCCTGTGCCACGGCAGGTGGCAGCAGCACTGCTGGTGCTCTGAGCTGGCACATATTGGAGCAAAAGCATTTTACTGCACAGGTAAGGAATGTGCCAGCATCCCTGTGTGTATCCCAGCCACAGACACACCCCCAGCGTTCCCGGAGAGCCGCAGGGACCGCATTCCATGTGACACGTCAGCAAAAGCCCTACCCAAAAACACCCATCCCTTCTCTTTAAGTTTGCCAAAATTTGTATGGTAGGTGTAAAAAGAAAACATAGTGAACTGTACCATATTATTAACCCCTAAATCCAACTTTTTTTGTCTTGTGTATCTTGATTTTTCTGTGTGCTTTGTAGTGAAGCAGCCGACACGAGTCGTTGTTCATAAAACAGCTTTTGAAAGTTGAGAGCACTCTCACCCCTGGAGAACCGACTGTGCTTGCTTACGTTTGGTTCATGACTTAAAAATCGAGTACAGGTGATGAAACCTTGGCAGTGTTAACAACAAAGTAGTGTGTATTGTGCTATTTTTTTGCTCTAGAAACTTAACCTTTTGTAGAGAAAAAGGAACAGTCAAATTGTCACCCATTGAAGTTGCATTCTGACAAAAAAAGTTAATGCTAAATATTAATAGCCATCAAGCTTTGTATTTTAGCCAACATAAGTACTTTCAACAAACTCAGGTGGTGTATCAGGGAGACTTTGCTGGGTGTATTTGTGTATTTGGTGCCTCTGGGCTGGGATGCCCTCTAATGCCAGGCTGTTTCCCTGCAGGAGTCATTCCTGATGAGACTAAGGCTCTGTCTCTCTTGGCACCAGCTAATGCCGTGGCAGGGCTGCTGCCCGGGGGTGGCCTGCTGCCCACTCCCAACCCTCTCTCTCAGGTAGGCTGGGCAACCCCTGCTGCTGCTTTCCCACCTCATTCCTGCTCTTTCTTTCAGGGCTGATGTGTTGATTCCAGCTCCTAGAGTGGTTTATTGGGCCTGCTGGACTGGGACAGCTCTGATGTGATTGGGGCATGACAGTGACAAGTTGTTAGATGGAATATCCTTATTGCCCTCTCTGCTGGTTTCCCAGGGCCCTGTTTGTGCCTCCCACCCCTCTCACCCGCTGTGCTTTACAGATGTGACAAGCAGTAGGGGTCTCACAGATTTTAAACTCCTCAAGTCCAGGCAGCTGCCACACTGTGAGATTCCCTTCATTAATCCCCCAGCTGAGGGGAAGGTTGGAGCCTGGTTGTGTGAACCCACAGGAATTCATGTGGAAGATGAACAGTGAGAATTGCACATTGTGGGAGAAGCTGGAGTCACAGCTCAGCTCTTAACAGGGCACAGAATCAAAGTGCAGGAGGCAAATTAATCACAATAAAGCCCCATTAATTCTGCACCTCTCAAACCCTCCCCAGCTCCTGCTTAGCTGAAGGACCCCCTGGCCATGGAGCTGCTCAGGAGGAAATAGCCTAAATTTAACCTTGGAAACCCAGGGAACAGGTTGGAAGGACCAAATACATACTAAAATATTTCATTCACTAAAAAATCTGGCCATGTGAATCCTGGAAATGGATGTTGAGCACCTCAGTTGCAGCTGTGTCTCTGCTCCCAGCCCCTCTGGTGGGATGAGTTCAGCACATCCATTTTAGGGAACTGTGCTGCACAGTCCAGCACATCTTGGCAGTGTGTGTTGGGTTTGGGTGTCTGTCTCCATCATCTCATTTGAAATGGCCCAAAGTGAGCTGCTTTAGGGAGCCTTCTGCTCTCCCAGTAGCTTTTTAACCCAATTGGAGACATTTGCAGGGATGCAGTCCAATTAAATTGCTTTTCAACATAAACCATGGCCATCTCAACCCTAAAACCAACTAGAAATGGGGTAATAGCCTCAAAAACTTGATTGAATTTCCATTTTAGCACTGAAAAATAACTTCATTTTCAACTATCCTTTCAATTTGCTGGAATGCTTTGCTCCTTCACCTTGATCTCCCCTGCCCTGTGATGTCCCTGACTGAATTTTGTCACTGCCTGTGCCCTGACTGCTCTCTCTGCCACAGATTGGTGCTGTCCCTTTAGCTGCTTTAGGAGCTCCTGCTCTCGACCCTGCCCTTGCTGCTCTTGGGCTTCCTGGAGCAAACCTGAACTCCCAGGTACGTCTTCATTCCAGAATATCCTTTATTGCCCCCCTCTTTGCTGCTCTGAGAGTGGTTTCCATTTGTGTCACTTCAGAGCCACTGCCTGGGAACTCCAGGGATTGGAAGGAAGAATACCTGCTTGAATATCAAATTAAATGTTGCAAGGGGCCAAGGAATAATTTGAGGATAGCAATGAAATATTTCAAATATGTGTCATTATCAGGCCAGGAACCTGCCTTGTTCTTCAAGTAAAAAGTAGTTTGACTTTTTAATTTTCTAGGTGTCAAAAATGTGAGGAAACTTCATTAGGTTGTTACAGCTGAACAAAAAAGGCTTTTAAGTACTAGAATATTGAGTATATTTATATCAACAAAGATATATCAATATAAATATATTGGTCATATATGTAGATAAAATATTTAAGAGGTAAGAATAAAATACTCTTACAGCCACAAGAAGCAGCAATAATTTAATACATTGCCACTACCATCACTTAAATTTTAATGTATTCCCATGTGGAAGAACAAGCAAATGATGGTGAAATTAAATAACAAATGAAAAAAATCAATCTAAAGGCAAATGAGAAAAATGTAAATTTGGGGTGATGGAGGATTTTTGTGCATTAAACCATCAGACTGTAACAAACATTTCAACAAAGAAAGTTTGGGTTCATTATTAAAAAAATGAGGGAGGATTAAACTTTTTTTCTTAATACCCCATTGGTGCAGGAAGTGATGATGATGCCTGGATTATCCTAAGAGCTGTAACATTTTTTCATGGAATACTTAAATGTTTATAAGTTGGCATTGAGGTCTTCAGTGGACAGGCAGCTTAGAGAGGGCTCTGTTCTCTTGCAGTGACAGAAATAACCTGTGCACAAAAAGTTACTAGTGCATAGGGATAAACACACCCCAGCAGTGTATTTTTATCTGTTGGTATTTTTATCCATTTGTGGGTTTATCCCTGATCCTGCCCAGGCAGGGCTGGCTGTGGAGAATAAATCCCAGAGCCCCAGTGTGGGGTGTTAATGCTAAATATTAACACCCCAGGCACAGCAGCCCAGTGTGGCCTTTCCTCTTGGCTGGGGCTGTTCTGCTCTGGTTTTCCAGCTGGGAAAACTTCAGGGGACATTCCAAGGAAGGTTCTCTGGAGCTCTCACATCTCCCAGCCTGCTTCTAACTCTGTTTTTCCCTCACAGTCTCTTGCAGCAGATCAGCTCCTAAAACTGATGAGCACAGTGGATCCAAAGTAAGCACCAGTGTTCCCAAACCCTTGTACTGCACTGCTGGGGGACTCCATGGGAATATCCATGGGGATTCAGTGCCCAGTCCCTGTCCTGCTGGAGCTGGAAGGGCCTTGGAGCAGCCTGGGCTAGGGAAGGTTCCCTGCCCATGGCAGGGGTGGGATCAGATGGGTTTGATGTCCCTCCAAACCAAAGCCATTCCAGGATTCCCTGATCCTGTGAACTGGCTGAGTCTGACAGTGCAGCCCTGTATCCCTTGGGTTCCTGAGTCCTGAATTCTGGAATTCTGTGTTGCCCAGGTTGAACCATGTGGCTGCAGGTCTCGTGTCCCCCAGTCTGAAGTCAGATACCTCCAGTAAAGAAATAGAAGAGGCCATGAAGAGAGTCCGAGAAGCACAGTCCCTAATCTCTGCTGCTATAGAGCCAGGTAATCCAGCCAGCACGGGGCCTGGGCACAGCCCCTGAGCAAAACTGGTGCTCTGCAGAGCCTGCCTCTGTGCCTCTGGTCTGGGAGGAATTCACTGACTGGGTTTTTAATCATCCTGCTCCATTTCCTGCAGAAATTCATCCATTGATTTTCCCAAAATTCACTGATTTGAAGGCTGTACAGCACCCAGGCTTCCCTGAGGGAAGTTCTTGCTGCTGTCTCAAATTCCAAGGGAATGTGGATTTCCCAGCCTCACCACCTGGCACCCTGCTGATGTTTCTCAGGGATGCTTTCCTTTATTTTCATTCCTAATCTGGGCAGGTTTGTAAATAATTCTCTTTTTTGGAGCTTCTTTCAGCAGGTTTGATTTTAGAACAAGCTCCAGCAGCTCTCACAAATGTCAGAGCCACCAAATCTGAGAGGCAGAAACTTGAACACTGAAAATACAGAATATTCATCAGTTCTGCAGCCTCCTGATGATTTCTAGGAAAGAGCAGAGCTCCTGTTCGTGCTGAGCTTGAGGCTTTTTTGTGGGAAATTCAAAGCAATCATTTGACATGTTCTTCAGCCCCTCGGGAAATGGCAGATTCTGGGATTTTCACAGGATTTTCCATTGTCCTGCAGCCATCAGCTATTCACTGACTTAAGATTTTTTCTAAATTTTGACTTCTCCAGTTTTGCATAAAACTTACTTTGTGTCACAAATGTGTTCCCATCCTCTGTTGGTTCTTTTTGTCTTCTTGTGAAGAAAATTACAGATGAGCCTTCATGTCAAATGGCAAGATCAGGTTGATTTATATCAATTACATGAAGCTCCAAGTCCTTTCCTTTGGAAAATATTTTTAAATATTAAAAAAAAAAAAAAAAAACATTGATTTTTATTGTACTTTTCCTTTTCCAGACAAAAAAGATGAAAAGCGAAGACATTCGAGGTCGAGGTCGCGCTCGAGGAGGAGGAGGACACCTTCCTCATCCAGACACAGGTGACTGAGCAATTCCTTAGCAACACCTCCCACAGCTGCAACAATCCCTGCAAAAACCATTCTTGGCAAGAGCCTTGGGTTTGATGCAGGGCTCACAGCTTCATTGCCATTCCAGCGTGCAGAGCTCCTGGCAGAGCCGTGGATGGAGGCTTTGGTTGGGTTTGGGGGTTCCCTGCCCGGAGCAGCTGGGCTGGGAGCATCCCAGGATGTCCTCCCTGTGACTCCATGTTGCTGTGTCCCTGGCAGACGCTCCAGGAGCAGATCAAGGAGAAGGTCCCATTCCAAATCCAGGAGCAGGAGGCGATCCAAAAGTCCGAGGAGAAGGAGATCTCATTCCAGAGAGAGGAGCAGGAGGTCTCGGAGCACATCCAAAACCAGGTAATGACCCCAGGGAGTCCAGTCCTGAGCAGGGCAGGCATTGTCCCCTGTGCTGGCACTGCTGGGTCCCCACAGGGCTGTGTCCAGCTCTGGGCCCTCAGCTCAGGACATGGAGGGGCTGGAGCACCTGGAGGGCTCAGCCTGGGGAGCCACCCCTGCCCCTCCCAGCCCTGCATCCCTTTCCCTGGACAGCAGATCAGGAAGTGCTGTTTGAAAGTGACTTAATCTCTCTTCTACTAAAAGGGATAAAAAGAAGGAAGAGAAAGAAAAGAAACGTTCTAAAACTCCCCCCAAAAGCTACAGCACAACCAGAAGATCCAGAAGCACAAGCAGGTACAGAAATGGGATTTTCCTTGCTCTCTGTTCCCAGCAGGATTTTGATGCACTTCAATATTAAATAGAAAAAAATGTTCTTGTGATAAAACAGCTGGTCTGTGGAAGGTGTCCCTGCCCATGGAAGGAGCTGGGCTTTGAGGTCCCTTCCAACCCAAACTATGCCTGGATCCCATTGGATCATGGTTCCAATGAGGATGTGTCTGCTACAGGCACAACAGCACCTCTACCACCTGTGTCTGTTGATACTTGCATTTTCCTGCAATGCCTGAGGTAAATTCTTTGGGCTTAGAACAGTTTTCCTTGCTCTGTGTCAGAGTTTGATGCTCCAGGGTCACTGCCAAGCTCTTCCTCATTTAGGGAATAAATCCAGGCAAAAGCGTTTCATTTTTTAAAAAAAAACTTCCAATTTTAGCTTGCAGTTTTAACAACTCTTTAGTACCCTGTGAGCAGGGCTGGGCTTGGATTAGGGATGCATTTGCAGCTTAAAAAAAAAAAAAGGCAGAGATTTCCAAAGCTCCTGTGTCTCCCTGCAGAGAACGGCGGCGCCGGCGGAGCCGGAGCGGGACGCGGTCCCCGAAAAAGCCCAGGTCTCCCAAACGGAAAATGTCCCGGTCCCCGTCACCCAGAAGGTCAGGGAAACACCTGGCTGGGAAGAATGGTGTCTGGGTGGGAAATTGCCAAATTGTGACCTCCAGGGAGGCTCCAAGGGATTCTGTGTGGGGGAATCTTTGCTGCTTTTGTGGAGCTGCTCTGGGGTTGGCTGGGAGCTCCGAGGGTCAGGGGTTCCAGGGCTGGTAGGAGTAGATATGCCACAATTCCCAGTCCATTTGGATTTGCACAGTAGGAACCAGCTGATTTTGGGTGGCCTGGGTGACCCTGTCCCAGCATGGGCAGCTCAAGGTGCTCCTCTGTGAAACACTGGAGCGCCGCTGTTCTTGGTGTCCAGGATCTGGACTCCATGATCCCCGTGGGGCCCTTCAGCTCAGGAGATTCCATGGTTCTGTTTGCCACAGCATTGCTAAGCCTTGGCTTTGTGCTGTCGTCCTTGAGCCAGAGCTAAGAACTTGGGATTTTGGGTATTTCCTGGAAGCAGAGCCCGTTCCCTACCTGCCCTCTGCCATTTTCCTTTGGGTTTGCTGTGGGTAACGCTCTGGACACAGTTCCAGCCATGGAATGAGGTGATGGGGATGGGCCTCATCCTCTTCCTGCTGATCCTCATAGGCATAAAAAGGAAAAGAAGAAGGATAAAGACAAGGAGAGGAGCAGAGACGAGAGGGAGCGGTCAACGAGCAAGAAGAAGAAGAGCAAAGACAAGGAGAAGGATCGAGACCGGAAATCCGAGAGCGACAAGGATGTGAAAGTATGTTCCAAAAAGCCCTGGAGCTGCTCCCAGCCCTGCCCCACGTGCCCCCTGCCCCAGCCCACAGGGAAGTGCTAACGTGTCCCTTTCCCTGGCAAAGCAGGTCACAAGGGACTACGACGAGGAGGAACAGGGCTACGACAGCGAGAAGGAGAAGAAGGAGGAGAAGAAGGTGGCGGATGCTCCCTCCCCCAAAGGGAAGGAGCCCGGGGCCGAGAAGGGCAGCGGGGATCCGGGCAGGGAATCCAAGGTGAACGGGGATGACCACCACGAGGAGGACATGGACATGAGCGACTGAGCTGCCCACAGCCCCTCAGTGTGATCCTTTATGCTGTACTTGTTAATCCTCAACCTAGATGTATCCAGCTCCGAGCTCTCCATGGTCTGTCCATCCCGATACTAACTCACACCCAAAGCTTGAGACAGGGATCCCCTGCTCCGGGGCCCAGCTGGGGCCGGGCCGGCCCGCACGTCCCTCCCAGCAAGGGCTGGCCTACCCCTCCTCCCTCCCTCCCTCCCTGCTTCCCTCCCTCCCTCCGGAGTGTCCCTGGCTGAGCCAGCAGGGCCCAGCGGTGTGGCAGTGTCCCAGCAGTGTGGGGAGTGTGGCACAGCCCCCCTGTCCTGCAGCCACCGAGGGGCTGCCGGGGCCTCCTGGACACTCCGGAGTCGGCCTTGAATCGCACCAGCTCTTTGTGCTCTTGGCTTTAGTTCTGGTTTGAAGCCACGTGCTGGGCTTGGCTGGGTTTGGTTTCCGGTGGGTTTTGGTTGGCTTTGCCCAGGGTTCTGTGCTCTGACCTTCCTGAGGGCTCTGTCTCCACTGGGTCCGTTCAGCTCCACCCAGGGCGAGCTGGGATGGTCTGACCTCGGGAAGGGCAATCCTGGCCGTGCCCAGTGAGGGAGGGTTGGGGGAGCAGCCTCACCCAGGGCTGGGGCTCAGGAGCTCACCCGCTGCAGCAGGGAGTGCATTTTAAAATGACCTTGGTCTGTTTTTAAAGCAAGTCCATTGATAATGTACTTTTTACTTGATCTCAAGTTGTACAAACGGATAAATTTGTGTTCCTGTCCCGGCCGTTCCCTCCCTCCCGCACTCGGTGATCCCATGGTATTTGCAGAGTAGTTACCCAAAGCTGTTCCTTAGTTCCAGCAGCTCCAGAGCTTTTACTTTTGTGCAGGTAAAGAGACAAAAGTAGCCGACAGTCTGTGCCATGTCGATGTACAGTTTCGGAAAATGTTTTACAAAACTTTGATAATAAAACCCTGAAACTTCACCACCTCTTCCTAGAAAACTCCTGGGTTTTATTTCCACTGCTGGGTGCACCAGACTTTACCTCATTCCTTACAGGGAACTTTTCCATCTCTGTTACAGTAAAGAAGGAATTATATTACTTTTTCGGGGGGGGGAAATGGGTTAAAATGGGAATGTGGAGGTTTATGGGACTGTTGAGAAGGACCTGGGAGTGGATGAAAAGCAAGAGAAGCTCTGGGGAGACCCTGCCTGGCAGGGAGCACTTGGAGCAGCCTCAAGGCTCCAGCCACTGCAGTTATGAGAACTCTTTAACTAACAGTGGCTGGAGCTCTTCTGGAAGTTTTCCTGCCCCTTTAGAAACAGGAGATTTTCCATCATGAGCTCTGTACCTGCAGAGGGAGGCCCTGCTCCCTCTCTGAGCTCAGGGGCTGATGCTGGGGGCAGGAGAGCGAGGCCAAGTTAAAAAACTTAAAAACCCCAACCCCATCCCTCCAAACCTACCCTCCCCAAAAAAAAGCCCCCAGCTCTCCCTCAAAAAAACCAATAACCCAGAAGAACCTAAAACCCCAAATATTCTCTCTCAAAGCCAAAGAAAATACCAAACCAAAAATCCTCTCCAACTCCCCACCCTCCTGCAAGGCCCAAGCCTCTATGGCCATGCAGGCTGTGCTTTCCATTCCCCCAGAACTGTCCAGCCTGTGATCCAGGGGAGGCCGTTCTGGATGGAGGAGCTGAAATCTCTGGAAGGACTCAACAGAGTTCAGTGAATTTCAGGCTCCTTTTCCCCACTCCCTCCTGGGCAGCTGCTCCCAACCTGCTCCCTCAGCTCCTGCTGAGGCCGGGAACTGCTCCTGCATCCTTTGCCTGTAAAACCTGGGATTCAGAGAGGGCCGAGAAGAGGCTGTAATGAAAATGCAGGATTTTATTTAAAAAATGACCAAGAAAATGCCCTTGCAGAACGCAGCAGCAGGAGCTCGTTCCCTCCCCTCCGGTCCCGCTCCCGCAGCGCAGCCGAGGCCCGGCGGGACAGGAGAGGGAAGCCTGGATTGCACAGGTGGAGCAGCTTCCAAATCCAACAGCATAGTTTGGTCTTTATTCTAACAAATGATACAACCCAAAGTGACTATGAGTGAAGGGAAGGGGAAACCGGGGAGCGGACGACAGGAAAACCAAGAGAGGTGACTTGTTTTCCATGGGAGTTACAAACTGTCAGGAAAAGAAAAGTGAAACTGCAGCATTACAGGAATTGGTTAATCCAGATTAAATAACGCAGTTCTCCTGGCGGGAATCACAACTCAGGAGCAGAGACAGAAAATAACAGAGGGCTGTGGGAATACCAACGGAACCCGGGGGATTCCAGCACAAACACATCCAGGAGGGACGAACGGACTGAACGCAGGAACGGGGAATTGCTGTGCTGGGAGTGCAGTGGCTGGGCAGCAGCTCCAGAGCAAATCCAGGGTGTTCCCTTTGCCATGGGACAGAGCAGGAGCTTGGAAGACCAGAGGAACGGTTTGGTTCAGAAACAACCCACGGGATCCTTCCCCAGTGAGGTCGGAATTGGGTTGAACAAAATTCCTGGTTGTCTTTTAAGAGCCATAAAAAACCTCAGGAAAAAAAGAAGTGGTGGGAGGGGAGCCCCAGCCCGGGCAGGAGCAGCTGGATGTGATTCCCACCAGCCTGGTCCAGCTCCCTTCTCCTCCTGCCCTAGACACCAACTCCAGCTGGGGTGCCCAGGGCTGCTCCTGGTCCCCCTGACATTCCCAGGCCACAGGGATGAGCTGGAGCTGCTGCACAGACACAGATCCATGGATCTGTGCTCACTCCCAGGGACCAAACCCTCCTGCAACACCTGGCCTGGCCTCCAGGAAAATGGGAAAAGCCGAGGTGAGGCTCTGCTGGATCAATGCTGCTTGGAAAAGGAATTTCCCAGAGCCATGGGACAGGGGAGGGACCCTGTGCCCCAGGCTGGGGCTGGGAACACCCTGGAGACACATCCGGGCCCACAAACATTCCCTGTGTCCATGCAACACAACCCAGTGACAAGAACAGGCTTCAGTGGAGAAAACATGGATATAAACATGGATCTCAACGTGGGCAGCCCCTCGGGGTCCACAGGCTCAGCCCAGTGTCCCCCTGACTGAGAATTCCTGCAGTGCATCCATCGGGAATGCCCAGGTGTCCCTACAGGTGAGAACTCCTCACCAGGAATGTTCAGACAGGAAACACATCCCAGGAGGAGGGAAAAGTACTGAGAGCAGCTCTGGGAGCCCAAGGGCTGCCCTGGGAGCTGGGGAGCAATCCAGGGAATTGCCATCCCTCAGCTCCACAGGGAGAGCAGGAGCAGCTGCATTTCCTGGGATAACCCAGAGCAAGGACAGCCCCAAAGCTGTGCCCACATTCCAAGACAGAACGAGCCTTAGGAGCAGCTTCCTGCAACCCTTCCTGCAGCCCCTGGAAGTGTCCCAGGGAGCAGCCGTGTCCCAGGGGATGAGAATCCCCCAGGCCTGCAGCCAGAGGCCACAGGAACCACAGGAAACACTTCCAGGACCTGCCCTGGGCTTTGGGCAGACACCCTGCAGCCACCAGGGGCTGTCCAGAGGGGACAGAGCCACAGCAGCCTCAATCCCACAGGAGGCCACCCCAAACCCTTTTTGTTTTCCAGTTCCAAGGCCAGGATCCAGCCTGGGATCCAGCAGTGGCTGCACTGCCCAGGCCCCACAGCCCCAGCAACGCTTCCACGGAGCCAGGGATGGATTTGGGATGAGCAAAAATGCAAAGGAACACAAACCCATGGATCACCACTGAGCAAAGGGAGCTCTGACATTCACCTCGGGGAGGAACCTCTCACCACTGGAATTCCCAAGGCATGGGGTGCCCTCTAAGGCACCTGCCACAGGTCCTGCAGCTACACAAAGCATCCTGAAGGATCCCCTGGAGGGGACAGAGCCCTGTGCTGCCCCACGGGCACCGATCCAAGCTCCAGCTCAGCCCCACAGACATCCCCAGGCTGTCCCAGAGGACCCCACCTGGCTCCCAGGAGCAGCACTGACGGTGTCAGTTCATCCTAGAGGTGTGAAACACGTCAGGAATTCATCATGACTTGGAAGAACAAGTTCCATCATTCCCAGAGGATGCTCCACACCTGCCCTGACACGGCACTGCAGGAGTCATTTCCCTTTGCTTGTTTTCCCTAAAGCTTCCTTTTGAATTTGAGTTTGAATTAACAACAAAGCTGCACTGCTCCCCTGTCCCAGTGCTTCCCTGTTCCCCAGGTCCACAGAGGTGCTGGCAAAGAACCAACCCCACCCTCTCAACTCCAGTGCTCCTGGGCTTTGCTGACAGTGCTACCCTGGGCCTCCCCTACGTCCCTCCCCAGAGCAGCCTCTTTGGGATGGATCAGAGATTCCAGCAGTTTGGAATTCCCTGCTCTCAGGTGTGCCTGACACCCTGCCCTGTGCTGAGCCCCTCCCTTGTCCCTTGTGCTCAGCACAGCTGTTCCCTCCACTGAGCATCAATGATCCTCTTCATTATAAACTTTGATCCTTAACTCTATGGAATTCCAGAAAAAGTTTTACCTACAGTGCACAAAGAATATAATTTGGAAAATATTTACATTTTTGTACAATGACACCACAGCACTTGAATCTAAATTTCTTCATACAAACAAATAGCACCATCAGCCTTCTGCACAAATCTTGCCTAACAAACCCCAGAAAGGTGGATTATTGTTAGATGAGGAGACTGGAACAACTGGGAATGGGAATAAGCTCGAGGAGCTGGAGTACTGAACCATCCACGAAGGGGGGCTGGACAAGATGAGCTTGAAGGTCCCCCCACCCTAAACCAGTCTGGGATTCTCTGTGATTTAAACACAAAGAGGCAGGGAACGAATGTGGAACAGCCCAAGCTGCCCGTGAGTACCACGGTGGCCCCAAGTGGCAGCAGGGAGAGCTGCTCCTGCAGGAAAGGGCAATGCCTGAGCTCCTCCCAGCTCTCACACCCTGACCTGGTGGTGCTCGGCCTTTCTGGGACACCTCTCCCAAGCGAGTCTCAAATAAAGGGTTAACAACAAGTGACATTCCTGGCCAGGCAGCCCTGGAGTGCTCCCCACCAGCCCAGGGAGCCAGGCAGGGAGCAGGGAGCAGGGAGGGAAGGGGAATGAAGGGCTCAGGCGGGGCCAGCCCCAGGCTGGGCCGGCGCTGCCGAGGTGCCTCGCTCCCTGCAGAGCACGGCTGGCTCTGCCCGGGTGCAGGAGGAAATCCAAGTGTCAGTGGTGCCCATTTGGTTCATTCATCTACAGCCAAGGTATTCCTTCAGGATACCTTCCAACATTCCGTGGCTGAGCTGGGAGCTCAGGGAACAGGGAGCAGGGGAAGGACAGGGGGGCTCACCTCACCCCAGCCCCGGGCCCAGCTCGGTGCCAAGGTCCAGCAGTGCCTCGCGGATCACCACAAGTGTAAAAAATTTAAAAACCAGCAGCTCCTCCCAGCTGGGGGTGGCAGCTCCCGAGGCAGGAGCGGCTGTGCCAAGGGGGATGGCAGCAGGAGGCTCTGAGAAGCGGGAGCTGGAGGGGCTGGATGCCCAGAGCAGGGCCAGCTCCTTCCCTTGGCTGCGGGCTCACGAGTTCATCCCTTGCTGTGCCCCACGGCTCTGCCCTGCTGGGGGTGCAGCCGTTCCCTGGCCCTGGGATGCCGGGCTGGTGTTCCCAGGAGCTCCCAGCCCCCTTAGAGGTCCGGGAAGCGGCTGGGATCCTCCTTGTAGTCGTCGGGAATGGTGAAGATGGAGTCATCGAACTCGTCGTAGCGGAACTCCTGGAACGTCACAGTGGCCGTGATGGTGGGGAACACCGGGATGTCTGCGGGGACAGGGCACGCTCAGGACAGGGCACAGCCACCAGTGCCACCAATCCCCACCCCTGCAAGGCTGCACGGGGCTTGGAGCAGCCTGGGTTAGAGTGGGAGGTGTGCCTGGCCATGGGAATGGGAGCACGAGCTGGAATCTGAGGTCATTCCCAAGCCA